TGTTCATCGTCTCTTTCAAGAGACCAGGTGAACCCCACCGTCCACCACCGTGCACCGCCCACCGGAAATTGCCTCACGGCGGTTCCGGTGGTCCAAATGACCCAATCTTAACAACATAAGTTCCTCACAACACCCTCTTTACGGATCTGGTGTTAGTTTCCCTCGAATCAGACCACAACGTCTCGAATCTTCGATTGAAGGTTGGTCTGAAAATCCAACTTTCTCCGATGGTCTCCAAATTAATACCATAGTCTCCCCTGTCCATCCTCATCATGAACCTGTTAGTAGCATGGTTCGAATCTTCCTGGAATTGCTCGAATCTTCATTTGAAGATTCGAGTAAAACCTAACCCTACCCCAATGTACCCCAAACTCGCACCAGTCACTTGCCTAACCTCACTCGTGACCAAACCAAATTTGGTTTGGTTCAAATCTGCCCAGAAATGGTTGAGCCCCAAATCAAAGAATCAGAAACCCTAAAAAATTCAAATCGTGGAATTTGCCCAAATTAAATGAGGGATTGAGGTCTAAGAGACTTTAATCGAGGTATTCTCAATTGAGAATACTTCGAATAAAGTCTGTTCAGCCTCAAAAAGTCCGAATCCAAGTTGAACTTGTGTCCGTATAAATTTGAAGATCCAGAGGTATTTTTCCTACTTCTTTTTGTATCCTATGTGTATATTGTTGCTTGTTTCAGTAGTCTGTGTAATTTTCCTATTTTGTTTATTTGATTCTGTCTCATACCCGTTTATCTGATCAAATTATAGCATTGTCTATGTTTGTTGTGATTGTTTACAATGTGTGTAATCGACTCGATTAAGTTCATCGATTAGTTATTTTATAAATTCTTTTTCTGTTAATGCTGATTTGAAACAACTTGTTTATCTGTTTTGGATTGTTTATTATCATTTTTGGTGAAGGTAATCAGTTAATCAGTTCTTGCCAAATAATTTGTTCTTGTTTAATAAGTCAGTTAAGTTCGTCAATTGTTGTTATGTATGTCAATCGCTAGGAAATTAGTTTCAGGGCATTGTCAATATGCTGACAATGTCCCTCCATTGATGTAGATTCTGATTCAAATTTCCATTTCTGATTCTGATAAATTCTGTGTTGTATTAGTTTTAATTTAAATTTAGTTCAATTGATTAGTTAGAATTCAGCCTTCAGTTTTAGTTTTCAGTCATCAACTGATAGTTTTGAAATAATAGGTGTTCAATAATAGGTTACAAAAGTCTGAATTCAGGGCAGTAATATTAAGGGATTTTCAAGGGTGTTTGGGGAATAAAACAGTTGATATAACACTTTATTTAGTGCTTTGATAAATGAGGTATTAATTAATGTAATAATGGGAAACCAAAGGAAGTGGAGGGGCTGAAATTAAGGGAAAAAGATATCCTTAGTGGTTTGGTCATTAGAAAATCAGCCTTAGTATTATTTGAGTGGGGATTTCTGATTTTAAAAGGAAAGGGGGTCCGGGCAGCATTAGAAGAGAAAAACGTGTATAAAGAGGGGGAGTTGGGACTGATTTGAAAGAGAGAGATCTGAAAAAAGAAGGGAATTGAACAAAAAAAAACTGAAAGATAGACAGAGAAAAGAAACAGAAAAAGAAACAGAAAAGAGAGTACTCACACACACATAGAATCTGAAACAGATATAGAAGAAGGAAAGAAAATCAGAAACATAGTTTTCTTTGAACCTATCCGGGTCTGTTTGTTGATATTGCTTGGGTTAAATCTGAAATTTCCTAAATTTCCTGGTCCTGTACGTCTGGGTTTCACGGGTCTTGTTGTTTGTTGCTCAAATCTGTTGAGATATTGGTATATTCTGTTGGTTTTGTTGCTGCTGCTACTGCTGAACTTTACCTCTTTTACCCTCATTTCCAGGTACATATCTGTAAACTCATGTCATGAAAAGCTTCAATATTGCAAGGAAAATGAAGTTGGAAATTATAATTATGTTTTCTACTCATTAAATTTATTAGTTTAAGTTTCAATTTTGTTTTAGTTGGTTGATATAGTATTATGCTGGATACGATAAACTATTAGCCGATTGATTTTGTGAAGTAATAATTTCTACGATAATCTTATTTACTTTGAAGTTTAGAGATGACATTTATTGTTTGAATTGTCGAGATAGGGAACATGGCAGAAAGTTGGCCATTAGTTAAATCTTGTGATATTGTTAGCTAAGTATAGAATAGTATGAAAATATCAAGAAACTACATTACTAGCCTATTTTGTCAAATATCCGATTTTGTTGTGGATTGAATGATGTTAGTTGTATTTTGTTCGTATATGGCGTAATAATGGTTATGTGTATAATCAATAGTTGAAAGGTGAATTGATATAATCCGTTATGTTTACAATGTTGGAATATTGCGAATGATGCAGATGTATATTTACGTTATATGTGGTATCATCTTATCAACAGGTAAATTAGTTCTCTTTCTTAATAACAAATGGCCTAGTTATTTTAGGAACGCGATCAACTCATTTCTTTTAAAAAAAAAATAATGTATAAAATAATGTCAATGATTTTACAAAGTATAGATTTAGTATTTATAAATAGCTTGCATAAGCCGAAAATTTGGTTCAATTTTACCTATCCCAAATTCAATCATCGTGAGCAACTTAACCAAATGATCATACCTTTTGGATTAAAAACAAGTGGTGTAAAAGAAGGTTGGATTTATAAATTGTAACATTTTAAGACAAAAATGTATAAATAGCGCTCGCTCCAAATAGAATAGTGAAAATTTTTCGAAAAATATTAGTTTGTTTATCCAATTAATTCTTTTCCTTTTTGCAAGCAATTCGTTCTTTTGAACATACGAATACCATATTCACAAAAATGGTCAATTTGGTCGCACGTTATTTATTTTTCATATCATTAATTCTGTAACTTTAGATAGTTTTGAGGTATATAATTCATACATTTAAAATATAACCCAATAAATTTTGAATTCTTTTCAAGAAATTTAGAGGCGTCCCAAATAGTGATTTTCCATGACTTTCATATTAAAAATAGGTGGATATAATAAACATTTGTAGAGAAGTTTATATTACCATAAAGAATATTTTGTGTAATTAGGGATGCGTTCGCGTGACCTGATTATACTTCTAAAGGCAATTCGGATTATGCGTTCGCGCAACTTCGAGCAAAATTTTAAAAAGAGATTCGTCGGAGGATATTAAATTAATTTCATAAAAACCCGAGGCGTGCGGTTCACTACTTAATCATACAAGAAGGACGAATGTTCTTAATTTTATTTTAAGCACAATTTCGAACATCAATTTTTTTATAATAAAAATATAAAAATATTATCAATCTTTTTGTGTACACGTATGCGTGGCACGATTCTCTACATTTATAAAAGGTATATAATACGAATATACGTACGCGTGATTCGTTTCAAGAAAGTTCTACAAGTGCAAACCATCTAAACAAAAGCGGTAATAAAATCGGGCAAAAAAAAATATTTAGTAAAACAAGATAATTAAGCCAAATATAAAAATGGTTAAGCGACCGTGCTAGAACCACGGAATTCGGGAATGCCTAACACCTTCTCCCGGATTAACAGAATTCCTTACTCGGATTTCTGGTTTGCAGAATGACAAACAGAGTCATGTTCTCCTCGATTCGGGATTAAAACCGGTGACTTGGGACGCCTTAAAATTCCCAGGTGGCGACTCAGAAATAAATAAACAAATCCCGTTTCGACTGTCCTTTAATTGGAGAAAACTCCTTGCACCCTCCCGGGGGCGGAAGAAGGAGGTGTGACAGGCACGGCATCACCCTTCGTAAATTAACACTACAAAACATGGTACGGCATCACCTTTCGTGCATTAATACCCTCCCTCACCAAAACATTGAACAATAACAACAGGGAGATAGAAATAACAAGAACAAGTCTTACTTCACATTTGGTTCCACATTACCGACCTAAACCATGAGTTAATACTCAATCAAAACCAAAATACGTAAACATGATAAGGATGATTAGCACAACGATAAACTAGTCTAATACATGAATAATATGATCAAGGAAAGCAGCAAATATAAGTATAAGGCCCACTCGCATGCTATGACTCGACAACAACGTATAAGTACTCGTCACCTTACCTATACGTTGTACCCAACATTCTAACATGTAGCAAATAGGCAAATAAGACCTAATCCTTCAAGCCAAGGTTAACCACGACACTTACCTTGCTCCAACGGTCAAACTCACTACTGAAAAATTGGTCTACGGTAACAGTTGAAAAATCGTTCCCACAGACTGCCAAACCGTTGCCAAAGGGATATTGGAACTGTTTAAAAACTGTCACATCAGCCGGCGTACTCATAGGCCTACTGGAACGGTTCTTGCAACGGTTTGCATCGCCGTGACAATAGATACGTCTATTGCAACGGTTTTCTCTCTCTCAGTTGGAACATTTTTTTTCAATTGGAACGGTTTAAAACCGTTACTGTATTGTTTATACAACTGTTTTTAACCGTTACCATATTATTAAAAGCAACACTTATATAAGCTATTGCTACGGTTATGTTGGATATAGCCACGGTTTCTTTAGGCTATCGTAACGATTATATTTGTATTTGGAACAGCTTATGGGACCTATTGCAACGGTTTACATTGTCTACTGGAACGCCATTTGTGTCCTATTGCAACGGTTCTGGTAGGCTATTGTATCAGTTCAATTAAAATCAAAATATAGCACCTGTTATAAATAAATATTTATATATATAATAAATTATAATAACACTAAAATTTAAATACATCATAAAATGAAACTATTAATAAGACAAAATTATCCATCAAGCAAATAATATTCATAAAGCAAAAGTTCTACCCCATGAGTGCATAAGTTTAGTACATTTCAAGAGAGTAATAAGTTTCAAAAATGTTGTTAAGAAAAGATTCCTAGAACATTCATCTATAACAATACAAAATTCATTTCAAGTAAGGTCTAGTTCTTCATCGTCTTCATCATCCATTTCTTGATCTACTCCACCTACAAAAGAGGATAAGTAAAGTTATTACCCAAATGAACATTGCGCAGATAAATAAATAACTAAATACAAAAGAAGTGAACCATATATATATATATATATCTCAATTTAAAGACTAAAAAGTAGAGTCTCAAAATCTATGTTCATATAAACCAATCTGTGAGGGGAAACCTGCATCATCAACCACAACCCATAAAAGAAATGCAGTCAGATGTAAATTCTTCAACTCATTCCCTCCCGGAGAGCACCATCCCACATCCAAACAATCCCACACACACAACTTCGAAGCATGTATTCATGTTATGCACACATGTAACGGACTAGGGAAATCAAAATAAGTCTGCCTAGTTAATATGCGCAACCAAAGAAAAGAGCATCACAAATGGTTAGTCAGTTAGTGTAGTAAAGAACAATGGCATTTAATGGAACAAGGATCAGATCCCAATCTATCATTGATCCTCAAGGGAAAAAAGATAGAAAAAAAAACAAATATGGAACAGAGACTGCAGCAGCAAGAAGAGAAAGGAGTTTCCGTCGATATAAATATCCTTTAATGTGTGAAAGCGTATCACCCTTGCTACTACTCAACACATAAAGTCAGCCGAATGTGTTTACAGCGGTCCTAAGAGGCAGCTAACTTCAGAATATTTGTTGAGACATTTAGCTTATATTGCCTCTAATTGCTATGAACAGGCAAAGATTCAATAATTCCTATGATTTCAGTACTATAAATCTATCATATTAGCAGAAATCTTAAGGGATTCAATAGATTAAACTTCAAGTTTAACTAGAGACTACATGTACTTAACTGATCCACACAGCCAAATTAAGTTTAAGTATTAAAGAGTACCTTTAGTTCCAAGATGCCATATCGCAAACCAAAAGGATATCTCCTAGTATGTGCCAGGTAAAATGTTTTTGAGAGAACCCAAAACTAAAAGCACCAAAATAAGGGAAGTAGCACGCAGACAAAGATTTTAAAGAGTTGCTTATATCAACTCAGCAGTGATTGATGTTATATGTAAAATAGCTTTAAAAGTAGTTGACATTCCTCTAGAAAAATCTTTTAGTTACACAATAGCCCAGTGCCAACTATACAATATTAACTTCGAAGTGCAGACAAACACAACAACAACAACTATGCCTTGATCGCAAGCAAGTTGAGGCCGGCTATATGAATATGTAAAATCTATGTTTCTCCATTCCTTGCAAATATGACACTCAACATATATATATATATATATATATATATATATATATATCCACACACAATAAGCTAAGCTCTTACATACTACTACATTTTTTTCATAAGTTAAAATCGAACACAATATTAAAATGATCAATGGAACAACAACAATAGCATGACAGGTAGCACATCTCATCAGGAAGATCAAAGACCTAGGAGTTCATGGGAACTTTGTCTTTCAGCATTATTACAGAGAAGTCAATTCCATAATTTTGTCTTAAGCATCAACCTGCCTATCTATTCCAATTTAAATTCTCAAAGTTCTACTATCATAGAACTGCCAGTATTACTCGGGTATTATTACTATATATACGAAACCACTTGACACTTAAGAAATTATATACTCCTACTAAATAGAAAAATGATATTACCATATCCACTCTGCCTTGAACCAAAGAAAAATCCCAAGCAAGGAAGGAGGAGAACAAGAAATAGAAGAAGATGTATAACATTTGGTACGTACTGACCTTGAGTGTTACTACCAGCAGATAGTCGACTGTTTAATTGAACATCAGCTTGTTGTGCAGAGGAAGCATCTACAGGTGAACGTGCACTGAATCTTAACATGTCAGGATCAAGTCGCAAATCTGGGTTCAGACGCTGAAGTCGTGCGATGAGTTCATTGTAATATTTTGTTCCATAGCATCCTTTTGTTCGTTCAACTTTTCATGCATTCTTTGTTGCATCCTCTCTTTCATTTCCTCTATTTTTTGCTGCATCCTCTCATCAACATCTAAAGAAGGTCCAAGATTCCCTTTTTGCCCTTTTAACAAAGTCTTGGTAACCCCTCGTCCGTACAATCTCACGCGACCTGGATGTTCAGGTCCCATGACAGATGCAAAAGCGTCAACTGAATGACTGTCATCTTCACTTTCCTACGTGGATTGTATTCTCTCCATTTCAGCCTATAAACCAAATGCGAGAGAAAAGAGTTTTAAGTAACTAAAATTGAATCAATAATTAAGAACAAATAAATAATCACGACAAACTTTAAATTAGAAATTTCGTACAATTTTACTAATCGTATTGTCATATGAGCTTTTGTATATTCGACCAAGTTTTCTTTTTCTTGTAGTCACAAAGATGTCCTTACTTGATAAAGTATCTGAAGTATCAGAGATTTCCTTCTTTTTTTCCTAGTTACATGAAAAAGGTATAAGAATCTTTCCATACAAGTTCATAATTTAAAAAAATTAAGAAAGATAAAACATCAAACCTCGCGAATTAGAGAAAAAGGTGTTCTGCCAGCAGTGTGCGGACACTTCAACCTATTTCGATTCTCTGTATTAGTTTTGGACATTTTCTGCAAATAAACGAGTCAACCACTGAAGTAACTGAAACAATTAATCAGCAACCATGTTCAATTAATTAGCTTGGGTCCAAATTCAACAGCAACAAGAAATATTTGAACTAAAAATTTGACGGCAAGGTCTCGATCAAAATTCAACAGCAACAAGAAAGAAAAATGAATTTGAGTCTTTGATTCAAGTAATTAAGCTCCAAATTAACAGTACCAGATAAGACACATAAAGGAATAATGGCACATAAGAGGCATGTGAGCTGAATAGCTGATCATTTGACCTAGTATGTGTTACCTCCTTACCTGTAATTTCAAGTGTTGTTATGGTTCACTTACCAAAGACTAGACAAGAGATTCTGGATGTAATTACCTTGTGAGGATCGGAGTTCCAATATTTAAGAAGATCCTTAAAGTGAGATTCTGGAACATCTACTGGCCTATTCTCCATTCGAAGTTCATCATTCTCATAGGCTTTGAAGTGGTTTGTCTTCAATTGACTCTTATACTTTCTCCAAGCACTACAAACTAATTCAAAAACCCATTGTTTCGCCTCATCAGGAATGTCATATTTTTCCTACAAATTTAGTGAAATTGGGTTAGTATAAGAAATATCATCCATGTTTATTGGACATTGGGAACTTCATACCTTGATATATTTCCACATATCATCTTTTGTGTCTAGTTTCCTCCAATTAAATACATTAAGAGGACAAAAAGTCTCACTCCTTGCCAATGTGCCAAGGAAGCTACCCAACTCTTGTACAACTTCTTTAGTAGGACCAACGGGTTGATTATACTCATTTAGAGTGATTATTTTACACTACTTTCTACCATGAACACTTGGCATTTGAGTACGTCCTCTTTTTCTTTTTGGCGAGGAGGGGCCTGCAATAGTACAAAGCAAAGATAATCATTAATCACTAATTTTAGTTAATTTTTAGCTTAAAATTTATATATATTTGCCTTGTTCCTCAATTTGTTCAATTGCTTCATGATTGGTAGAATTATCAGATCGTCCATGTACTCCCTGTGATGCAGGAGTGATGGAATCCATATTTGCTCTTTCATGTACTCCCTGTGATGCAGGAGTGATGGAATCCATATTCGCTTGTTGCACTTATTCATGTACTCTTTGTGCTGCTGAAGAGGTGGAATTCCGTGTCACTTTCTGCACTTGTTCTTGCAATTGAGATCCTAATTCTGATTGTCGTTCTTCATTTGCATTTAACCTTATATTCAAGACTCTTTTTGTCGTCAACAACGAAAGCTTTTGGTTTCGCAAAGATGGAGGTAATCCAGCTTCTGATTGTCGTTCTTCATTTTCATTTGACCTTGTAGCTTGAAAGGTTCTTTTTGTTGTCAACGACGAAACCCTTTGATTTCGCAAAGATGCAAGTGATCCCGCTGGAATGCGGTTGGAGTTTTTCTTATTTTTGCTTGAGCACCCTTCTTGATTCATGACTATTCAAATATTGTTCAGATTCTGAAAAGCAAACACAATATAAGTTAGCAAAACCAAACAACAAAAAAATAGGTAAATAGATTTGGTCACAAACTACTGCCCCTTTATGATAATCTGCCCCTTTAGAAAACACTTTGTGAAGCTGCAAACACTATCTAGAATTGAATCAGATGAAGAGCTAGTGAAACAACTAAGAAGTTTAACAAGCTTGAGGACAGAAGCCAACAAAAAAGATTTTTGCCAATCTTTAGAGACAATGAGGAACTTGAGAGGTCTTTGATAGTATTAAGTAAGAGTCCATTTGAGCAAAACATACAAATGGAATCGCTCACTGAGAAGTAAGATCAGAAAAGGAATATACAGAAGAACCATCTCTTACATAACCACAGATCAGAAAAGGAATATACAAAACCATGTCTCATACATAATCACATAATGTTGAAGCTTCGCATGCATGATAACAAGCATATGCAATTATAGAATTCCACATGACCTTCGATACAAAGAGAGAAGTACACAACCTGTCAAGTCTGTCTGTCCCAGCAAACAGCAATATCTTTGGAACAGCTTTGGGTCGTGATAATTTCGTAACATTATATAAAACTGATAGTAATCACCTTCATAGTGTAAAGTTGTAAATACATAGAGTGTACTTCTAATATCTTTATGACTGAAGTATTCTATTATAGCTATAAGAGAAAAAAAAAAGAATGAAAGAAAATTTTCTTGATTTGCTAGAAGAAAAGATGATATGATTCAAGAAACCAACCACGAGTTTAATATTTATTGCTAATAATACTAAATCTCCACTCATTTAAAACAGGATAAAGATTTCCCAGCAACCAGCAAATCTACCTAAGAGTTCTCAAAAAAAAAAAAAAAAAAAAAAAAAAAAAAAAAATAAAGGGCGTGGGGTTCCAAATTAGTTGTAAACAAGCTTTAGTCATGGAAATAGGCATTATAACGAACTAAGGATGGTGGTTAACTCATCAAGATATTGCTTAAGCACGGAAATAGCTGAAGAATCTGGCAAAAATTTGGTGAAATCATTAAGCAAATCTGGATGGTCTTGTTTTGCTATATTGTGAGACTAACTAAGAGATTATCAGTCATTTGTTTTGCATTGCAATCATGTGATTAATTTGAGCGTACACACACTCCGAGCAGGACCACAAGCTTGGGGCTCGACGATCACAAAAATTTAACAATTAGTCCTTTTCATTCTGAGTGCTTTTAGTGTTCATAATAAATCACAAAAAAGAGCAAGAATGCAAATCCCAAGACTAAAATTTATAAACAAAAAAGCCATTATCACTCACTCAAAAAAGAATTAACTTAAAAGAAATTCATAATTTCGTTATTTAATCATCTGCTTCCATCCAGTCCCAATCAGTATCATCAAATTCATCCTCCTCTTCCGATGTTTCCACAACTGTATCATGTGAATCTTGTGCATGCAATGGAATATCAATGATATCAACGGGTGCATCTTCTCTTGACCATCTGAAGTCAACATCAAGTAATCTAGATGAGGAACCATTGTCATTATTAGGTTCCCGCCAAAATGTGTCTCCAATATTGGGACAATTCTCTTCCTCCAGATCATACAAATCAACAGGTACTTTACTCCTTGCATAATAAACATCTTTCTCAGTTGGATTTTCTACATAAAAAACTTGATAAACTTGTGATGCCAATACAAAAGGGTCATCTGTACTGCATAATCTATTGAAGTACACCCGAGTTAACCCATAATCATCTATTTCATTACGAAACCAATCACATCTAAACAGTACAACACTAAAACAACCCTAATAATCAATCTCAACGATATCCTGAATCGCTCCATAATAGATAACCTTGCCATCAATGGGATTTTGGTCCCTAGCACTAGCAAAACTATCTGTTGTTGCCGATAAAGTCACTCCACTATTTTGAGTCTTGCCTCGAAAATCCCGTTCTTTAGTATGAAATCGGTATCCATTAATAAAATATCCCGTATATCTTTTGGCTACCATATTAGGTCCTTTGGCTAGCCATCTTAAGTAATCTAGCAATACAATATTTTAACTTTTTCTTTAAACCAATTGCTGAATTCCCGACTATGATCCCTCGCTCTTACCTATGCATTTGATCTACTATAATTAACAATTAAATTCTTATGTTCCCTACAATCAAAAACATTTCAAGTTTAATCATAAATAAAAAGAATTATATAAAAAATAAATAAATATTAATATAATTTATCTTACTCGATAAACTTTTCCATTTTTTCATCTCCAGTATTGAACAGAGCATATCGATGTGCTTCAAAGCATAACTGCGAATCCATGACAAAAGTATTTTTTTCTTACTTCCAATTGGATGGCCTATATTAGGGAATATAGGTGACAAATTTTGAGAGCACTCATCATCCACAGTTTGGTACCTACTAAATTTTGTCTTCACGCCATCATGTAGATATCTCGAACAAAAAGTCAAGCACTCATCAGCCAAAAACCCCTCTGCTATTGATGCTTCTGGATTAGATCAATTACGTACAAATGCCTTGTACTTACATAGGTTCCTCTCAATGGGATACATCCAACGAAGATGAGCCGGACCCCCAAGTTTAATTTCATTCACCAAATGAATAGGCAAATGTGGCATTATGTCAAAAAATGTTGGATGGAAAATCTTTTCAAGCTCACATGTTATTTCAACAATTTCAGACTGCATTGCTTCAAGATCTCTTCGCCTTATGACCTTACTACATATAGCTCTAAAGAAATTTCTCAACCTAATCAAGACCAATGAAATATTCTTGGGCAACACTTTTCTAATAGCAACCTGGAGCAAGTAATGCATTATAAAATGGGCGTCATGACTCTTATACCCTGATATTTTTATCTCCTTCACTTGCACGCGTTCTGAAATATTCGAAGCACGCCCTTTTGGTAATTTAGCATTTTTCATGACAGTACAAAACAAACTTTTCTGTTTTGGTTCCATGTAAAAACAAGATTTAGTCAAACTTATAGTTCCATTATTATTTATTCTTGGTTGCAACTCCTTTCGTATCCCCATTTCTTGTAAGTCATAGCGAGATTTTTCATGATCCTTTGATTTTCCATCTATTTCTAATAAAGTCCCAAGCAAACTATCACATATGTTTTTCTCGATGTGCATCACATCAAGATTGTGCCTCAATTTGTTATGCACCCAATATGGAAATTCGAAAAAAATGGATCTCTTTTTTCACGGACCCTTATCACTCCGAGGCCTTTTTTAGAGCTCTTTCCACAGATATTGTTGAATTCAAGCAGCTCTTCAAATACTTCTTCACCCGACAATGGAGCAGGTGCATGTCTTTGCTCCTCCTTACCATCAAAAGACTTCTTATCTCGTCAGAATGGATGATCACGAGGAAAAAATCTTCGATGGCCCAAGTAACACATCTTATGACTATGTTTGAGATATTGAGAACATGTGTAATAATTGCAAGTGGGACATGCCAATCTCCCCTTAGTGCTCCATCCTGAAAGCAAATCTAATGCTGAAAAGTCACTAACTGTCCACATTAAGGCAGCACGCATTCGGAAAGTTTGGTTGGTTTCAGCATTAAATGTGTCTATCCCAATTTCCCATAGTTCCTTCAATTCTTCAATTAATGGTTGTAGGTACACATCTATATCATTTTCGGGAGATGATGGACCTGGAATGATCATAGACAACATTATATACTCCGGCTTCATGCAAATCTACGGTGATAGATTATAGTTCATTAACATAACAGGCCAAGTGTTATGAGAAATGCTCATGGTCCGAAACGGGTTGATACCATCACTTGAAAGACCCAATCTAACATTCCTAGCATCTCCAGAGAAGTCTGGGTACAAAGAATCAAAAGCCTTCCAAGCTTCCTCATCAGCAGGATGTCTTATATTCCCATCGTTGGGTCGTTCATTAGCATGTCATCTCATTGCAGCAACCGTTTCAGGACACTTGAATATCCTCTGAAGCCTAGGCTTTAAAGGAAAGTACCTTAAAACCCTTGCAGGGATTTTAGAGCTTACTTTAGTCAAAGGACCAACACTCTTCCATCTTGAAGACCCACAAATAGAACAATTATCGGCATTCGCATTTTCTTTCCAAAATAACATGCAATCATTAGGGCATGCATGTATTTTTTCATAATGAAGACCCAAATCTGTTATCATGTTTCTAGCCTTGTTGAAAGACTCCAGTACCTGAGCAAAGGGAAATGCCTCTTTTATCAACTCTAACAAATCGGAGAAAGCCACATTACTCAACCCATGGAAGGATTTAAGCAAGTACAATCGAATAGTGAAACTCAATTTACTGAAATTTTTACACCCCGGATATAACTCTTGTTTTCCTTCCTCCAGCAATTTGAAAAACTTCTTTGCATCTTCAGATAGTCTTTCCCCAACTCCTTTTTCATCCCCTACCTGACCCTCAATATTTCTAAATGTATCATGAAGTAGTCCATCAATATCACCACACATGGTAGAACATTCATCACCATTGCTTGGATGAGGTGTATTTCTCGAGGAAAATCCTTCCCCGTTAAAAACCCATTTGGCATAACCATCAACAAATCCATGAAAAACCAAATGATCCTCCACTACATTTCTATAATGCCAATAGCGATTCATGCACTTTTTGCAAGGGCATAATATTTCATTTCCTTGGGCGGCTCATTCAAATGCCTTATCAAGAAAATCATTCACTCCACGGATACACTCATCCGTCCATCTCAGGAGATTCATCCAACTTTTATCACCATTATCCATAAATATCCTATACGATAAAAGTAATTCAACAAAATTAGCCAAATAAACCAAAAATATATTAATTTGATATTGACCACTGCTTTTAAGGGTGAAACTCATAAAGTCACAATTTAAGACCTTTAAAAGTTAACTTCTTAAAAATCATCTCTTACAATATGAATAGGAAAGATGTGATTAAGTTATTATACTTTTCAAAGAATGTGTAGAGTCATGTTTAAACAATAAAAACCATTACGTTCCTTCTGATTAATGGCAACGGTTTTATAGCCAAAGTGTGCTAGTATCAGCCATGTAATATTGCAACGGTTAGAACCATCCCAATAAACGTCTGTTCCAAGTAAACATTTAAGAAGAGAACTGTTGCAAAGTTTCTTTGTCCATTTCATTGTTGATCAATCTATCACTCGATGTAAGTCGCTATTATTCTTACTACAAGTTAAGTAAAAACAGCTGCCACTTTGGAAATAAGCCTAGTTAATTGATTATATTTTGTAATCTGATTACACACAAATTAAATCTCTCTCCATATATCTGCTAGTGCGTTAATACTGATTTATTTCCAACATTATAAAATTATTATATGGACCAGTACACGTACAAAATTAGTAAGTTTGTTAAATTAACATCACTTGAAGATACCAAAATGAGTCTTGTTACATTAGTCGTTGACAAATTACAAGGAATACAAATATTTGACATATTCAAGTCAAAGCAAACAAGGAAATCACAATTGAAGCATCGTCCGTTCAACTCCATAGCCAAATTTGCAATTCTAACCACTCGTTATACTAAAAGTACATCTAATCCGCAAGTCAAATCAAGTCAAAATCTTATTTTCAATCAGTTAATAAAGTGGGAAAGGAGAACAAACCAGATTGCTATTACAGCGATCGAGATCCAGCTTTAAGAAAAACCAAGAATTTGCAGGCAAAAAAAGCTTCAAGTATCAATCTCAGTATGAAAAATTCCCTGCAATAAAATTAAGACGAAAATTGTTAGAATATAGTATTATAAAAAGTTAAAGCAATGTAATATAGAAATTAGTGGATGAAAACTAAAGCTTCATGCTTAGATAAATGTCTCTAGAACCCAAGTTTTTATTGGCTCATATGAGGCAAACTCAACAGAATGCTTTTGTATTATGGCAGCAAACAAAAGCCTAGGAAATTGTCAAAAGCTCGAGCAGGTATATTGTCATCGAATTCCCTCACCATATCCCATGGTCCATCTCCAACCCCAACTACAACAATAGACAAGGCGTTTTTACTTGCTTTCATAATTGTTTCAATTGTGCTCTTCTCTTGAGGGTTTAATCTGTTACGCGCATTTCTTGTAACGTTTCCATTTCCAACCTGTCCATCCGTGATTATCAATAAAACATAGTATTGGCCACCACTCCGCTCTACAATACTGATTGCCATTTCAATAATAGGAGCGAACGATGTTGGTCCTAAAAGGCGTAACTGAGGAACTAATTGTCTATATCAACTCGGTACTTGCTCGAATCCATTACAGAATTTCCCATCAAGATAGAAACTGAAACCCAATTTTTTAGGGCTTTCCATTATCAGTTGCAAACAAAAGACTAGGAAAATGAACACCCAAAAGACTACATCAGACACATAAAACACATTTGAATTAAGAACCTTTTTGCCAAGACTACAACATGAATTAAACAAAGAACCCAAAAGACTAAAGCATGAATTAAGAACCTTTTTGCCAAGAACTAAAAAACACAGTAAAAATAACCAAAAGAAGAGAGAAATTACCAGGCATATGGTGATTTTGGGCTTTTCTGATTCGAGCACAAATATGATTTAGAATTTGGGGATTTTGGGAAGGCTAGCAACTGTACTTGAAGAAGTGGGTATCTGAGTTCATTGGATTTGTAACCTGCGAAGCTTCAGAGAAGTGCCGGAAAGACCAACGGAAAATGGTGAAGGGCGATCACGTTATCGGCTTTGGGAACTCTAGGGCTTGATGATTATTGTGGTCCAATGAAGAGGTAATTGCATAGATATAGAGAGAGTGAAAGTGACAAAGTAAATCTGAAAGATTTGGAAGAAATTTGGCCAAGAGAGAATTTAGGAGATGGATTCTCGAATCCAAGGCAAGAAGAAAAGAGAGAGGGGATCAGAGTTTGGTTGTATCGACGACTGTATGACTATACTGGAGGTGGGTTAATGTTTATTGTATTTACTTTATTAAAATTAATTAAAATATAAAAAGTAACAGGCCAGGTTGGCAGGCTCACTACAATTTTGGGAAAAAACGAGGGGGAATGAATACCCGTTCCCATAGAATTGTTTTTTCAAAACCGTTGCCATATATATGTCTATTGGGATGGTTTAAACATCCGTTGCGAAACAAACCTCTATGGCAACGGTTTTGTCACAATTGCAACGGTTTGATGGCTAAAGTGTGCTGATACCACCCAAATTCTATTGTAACGATTGCAACCATTACTATATCTGGTCTATGGCAACGGTTCACAAACCGTTGCCAAAATAACTGTTCCCATAAGCCAATTTTCTGGTAGTGACTCAAAGCTCAACTACGACTTTTCTTCTCAAACGAGCCTCCAAACTGATAGACTCTAGCATATTACCAACCAAATAATTCAGATTAATCCTTAGGAACTACTCACGATCGTAAAGAATTCAATTTAGGCCATTATTGAAAAAGTTAACAAAAAGTCAATACCCAGGCCCGCGTGGTCTAATCCTGAAATTCGGACTAAAACCCCGATTACCCATTCAGCCCCGATCCCGGATATATAATTAGTTCTGGAATCCGACCTCAATTTGAGGTCTAAATTTCCAATTTTTGAAATTCCTAGTTTCTACCCAAAAATTTCCAATTCCACAATGAAAACCTTAGATTTTAGGTTGAAATCTTGTGAAATATTGTGAAAGATTGAAAGGAAATAGGTTAGAATCACTTACCATGATTTGAGTGTTGATACCCAATTTTTCCCTATATATTTTTAATATGCAAAATACCTTCAAAATAGCATATATATGCATATATAAGTATGTCCAAATGTTTTATTATTTTTTCATATTTTTAAAGGTTTTTAAATCAATTTATTTCCCCCTTTTATCCATAAAAACCCCAATAATTATTTCCAAAATCATTATTTTGGTAATTCATTTGTTGGACTTTTTTATTTATGCTAAAATATAGCTAAGGTAATTTTTTAAATATTTTTACAAATTTATTTAGTATTTTTAAACTAAATTGCATATAATTGTAATATTAACCCTTTTAAGATTCAATTATATTTTATACTAATAAAATTAATTCCTGTATTTTTAAATTGTCAATTACATGTTATAAATCATTTTATAGCTTTCAAATTATTTCCAGAAATTAATTTACTATTTTTATAATTTTAAAAGGGAAAAATTAGCTATTTAAATAATAGCCCAATTACATTTCAATTGTAGCCTAAATCTGACCCTAATTTAAACCCAATTTACAGGCCCAATTTTAATTAAACCTGACCCCAACCCAATTAAACCGACCCAAACCCGGATACTCCCTTACCTTTTTTTTAACCTTAAACGACCCCTTACCCTACCTCATTCTTCACCAAACGCCGCCATTGAATTCCCTTTCTCTCTCAATTCTCTCTCAAACCCTCATGAACCCTGGCCGCCGCCATCTAATCCCACCCTAATCCACCTGAAACCCTGCCTAATCCATGGCCTCCCATGGCCATTGGAGATGTGTAGTGGCCTCATATGGCTCGTGGGTGTTTGTTTATGTGGTTCCATGGCCAGACCTCGAGGGAATCTGGTCAGTCCTTGCTCGACTTTTGTTCATGGCCCCTCTCCGGTCATCCATGACCTTTGTCTGGCCAGCCATGGCCGTTCGATTCAGATCCTTGGCTCTCCTGGTTAGATCGGTAATTTTCAAGGTCTTTCTTACTTTTTCTGGGTCTTTCGAAACCCTAATCTTTAAGATCTTTTGGTTTTCTTTTAGATCTGCCATAGATTTGTGCGTACTATCAATTTCTTAAGTGTTTTCTCGAAGGTTCTTCAACTTTTCTTTTAAAACGACTCTTCATTTTTTCGACGATTAGGGTTTTCCTTTAAGTTATTTCAAAAGATCTCTTCTCTGATTTTAATGTGTTTGTGATTTTGCTATGTTTTGCTCATGTTGTTCTTCTATCTGAGTCAGCATGTTGAAAACTCTAATTCCTTTTTGACCTCATTCGAGTTCTAAAATTGTTTGCTTAAATGTGTGTTTGTTCGATTAAGTTCTCCGTTCTTGCTTGACTTATCTGATTCCGAGTTTTACCATCTTTAAAACTCGATTATTGTGGAAAGCCCTAGGTCTTTTGGTCTGAAATTGCTCGTTTTAATGTATACTTGACTCGATCAAAAGTTCCTTGCTTCAAACTCTCTTTTCTTTATATGACTTATCTGATTCTGAGATTTACTATCTTTTAACTCGACTATTGGTGAAACCTTAATTTCTTAAAAGGTTTTCCTCACTTGATACTGTGAGACCTTTATTTGTTTCTGATTCTCTTTACCTGTAGCTACATTTTTTCACTGTTGACTCTATGTGACTTGACTATTGTTCTTCGAATATCTTTCTTACTACTGAATCCTAGCTTGTTTCTGCCACTACTGTATGATTGTGCTATCTCTTTTGCCAATATGTTTGGCCTCACATGTCTGATGCTTCTGCACACTCTATTTATATACTGAAGTGCAGAATCGTGTTTCTTCATTGACTGATCTTGATCTGGTGACTGATTGCAAAAGTTTTCTTTTATGACCCCTAATTTCACTCACCTGTTTAAAATTAATTGATTCCTTTCCATTTACTGTGATGCTTTACCTTGCTGAATCTTTTCCAAAATAAGCATATCTTTATACTTAGACTTGATTGTTTGCTTCATGCTTTTACTTCCCCTTTTATGAAAATAATCAATATGTCTCCAAACTGATTTTCTTTCCTTAATTAGACCTGCTGCTACTCGTTAAACAGTGATTCCTTAATTAAAGGGAATCACTTATGGTAATTGATTCTGACTTGTGATTGTTTCCATGTTTGTGTTAAGACTTTACTTATTACCTTATTCTTCACCCGTTTTCAAAACTATAAATACCCACCCTCTTCTCTTTCAAAGACACGAACCATCTGAGTTCAGAACACACACTTCACTCAAAACTCTCTCTTTTCTCTATTACTACTTGTGCTACTGCTTTGTCTAGCCGGCTGAAAGTCAAGGCTAGGCTGTGGAAATTTGCCTACTTTTCCTTTCTGCACTTTGCTTCTTACTGCTATGTTCTAGTTAATCTTCAAGCATAAACAACAACATGTTTCTTTAGATGTTTCAGTTTTCTTCACTCTTGCCTGTTTCTGCTTATGTTTATAAAATCAAGTTACATTGTTAAACAGGTTGTAATGTGTTCTCTCCCCTTCTAAATTAATGTTTTCCCTTATGTATGTACTCTTTCAGTCACTTGTTATGTGATTTGCTGACTTTATGAATCTCAAACCCCCATATCCCCTATGTGTTTGTGTTCTCTCGCTGGTTTGTGGGCATGCCAGCATCATCTATCGCTGTGCATGTCCAAACCTGACCCTTCCTAGGGTCATATGCTTCATGCTATGTATTCCTATAACCCCTGACCTTTTTGTGCAATTACTGATTCTATATAGTTTAAGTTTTACTACTACTGTTTTCAAATCACCCTTACCCCTTACTATTTTCAACCCAGTTTTAAATAAATCTCTGTTTCTGCACTTCCATTATACTGTTAGACCCTAGATTCTGCCCCTCTTGTGTTAGCCTTGCCTTGGGACCCATGAGCTTCCTATGAACTTGGACACATAAGGACTGACATTTCCACACTGCACTCATCCCTATTTGGTTATGCAAACCTGGGTGTAAGCACTGCCCGGGGTCCCTTAGGTCTGAGAAAGGCTTTGAAACAAGTGGCATTTGAGGTGGTTTATTCCATAACTCATAAAGGAAGTTAGAATCAGTCTTCCTATGGTTGTAACTTCTTATTTTACATTTTTCTGATGTAATTCTGTATATGGTCTGTAATCTTTAACAAATATTGGGGTTGGCTAGTGAAAAATGATGGGGTAATTATTCTTGTTTTAGATATTAGAAAGGTAGATAACATGTCTATAGGATATGCTATGTTTTAATTCAAGTTTTGCATGCTTTACTTTCACACAAATAGACATCATGCCTATAGGATTAAAATTCTTTTTAATAGAAATCATGCCTATAGAAATTTTGCTTTAATCAAATAAATCCTGCCTACTTCACTGCATGCTCAATTAGATACCATGCCTATAGGACTAAAATCAGCTTTTAATACGTCAATACCATGTATATAGGAATTAAAATCAGCAATAATAGAGATCATGTCTATAGGATATGAGACCATTTTAGTTTAATTAAAATCAGTTCGACTCATATTGTTCTGAGTCAGTTTAAACAACCTACTCCTTTTATTAATACGGTTTAGATATCATGACTATAGGATCCAAATTGCCTATTAAAAATTAACCACTGCTTTGTTGTATTCTTAATCAGTAATAGATATCATGCTTATAGGACATCACCAATAAACACTTAGGCAAGCCTTAGGTAATTGCTTGATAAAACTGAATCCGCCTTTGTTTAATTAGCAACTGCTACAACCAGCAGGCAGGCCTGATTCAGACTTCTTATATGAGATATGTAATAAATTGGTCTGCTTCAACAATTAAAACACTCTGCCTTAGTACTTTAAATTCTGACCCTAAATGTGTTTAAGTCATGCTATTTATGTGCTTTACTTGAGGAGGTATATATGAACCTCTTAGTTGTTTATATGTTTCCCCTAATATGCAGTCATATGTGTTTGAATGTCGCATTAGTCTTTTTACCTTTAAAAACTCAAAAGTCAACCTAAAATCCTCCCTCTTATAGGAATAGTAGTCCTATATTCCTCCGGGACTGATAGGAATGGGATGGGTAATAGCATGCAATAGAGGTCGAGACCAATCTGCGCTTTAATACCCTAACGGGGTGGAAAGGGTAGATATGGATATGATGACCAGTGCGCTAATATCACGTGTATCCCCTCTTCTGAGGAGTGTCATACCGGGGATCACATACCTAGGACCCCCCCCCCTTTTCTTTTTTATTCTCAAGTATTTGTAGAACTATAACTCATTTTTTTCAAAAATTGCCCTTTTAATTGTTTTCAAACTCTTATGTGTTCAAACTCAAATCCACTACTACTTGAGCCTATACTTGTCTATCTGCTAATTGTACAAAATTCACAAAACTATCTGGTCGGGAACCACACTAGTGGATCCTGAGGGGTGCTTAACACCTTCCTCTTGGGATAATTTCAAGCCCTTACCCTATCTCTGGTTATCAAGCAAACTTAGAAATGAACCCTACATGTTTTAATTATTGCATAATCATGCCCAACATCATACTCCACTCGTGACAAACAAATACCATAGCAATGCTTATTATGAGTGGTTGCACTCTTCCTATATTATTACCCCCTAAATTCGGAAAGACATATTTGTGGTAAAACCAGTTGATTACCGGTGCAGTCGATGGTTCCGTGCCTTCCCCCTTCAGTTGTCTGCTCAAGGGTACCAGTTGGTTCAGTTATGTTGTCTGCATAATATTCCTTTAAGATAGCCTTGTCCAAAAGTCCATTGGGTTTCCCTAAACCCAAACGGACATCATTACGTTCTGTGCATTTATTTGGAGAAATAAATGCTTCATGCTAATTGTTGATGATAACACTACTAGAAAATGGCTATTTTGCGACTGCAAAAACGGTCAGAAAGTGGTCAGAAAATGCTAATTTCCGACTACATTCAAACTGAAAAGTCGTAGTCACAAAATAGCTGGTCTAAAATAGTTTGCGACCAAATCCGTCTGTAATTTGCGACTACAGCGGTCGCTAAGGCCAAATAGAAAAACGACTATAAATGTGCTCAAGTTTCTGACTGACGCGGTCGCAAACAGGTTAAATTAAATTTTAATTTTATATTAACTTTTCCACTACTTCGGTCGCAAACGATATATATAATTATACTAATATTTAATTTTGTTTGAGTTTTCCCACTACGGTGGTCGCAAATCTAATTTTAAATTATTTATTTATTTATCCTTCCGACTACCGTGGTCGCAAATCTAATTTAAAACTATTTATTTATTTGTATTTCCGACTACAGTAGTCGCATATGTTCCTGAATCTGGAATATTTTGATGCATTTTGCGACTACTATGGTTGGAATTAAGTCAGAAAACTGGGAATTTTATGCCAAATTCCAGCTCTTTTAATGCAATACCACCTACCAATTCAAATATACAACAACCAATTAATCTACCATGCTAACCAATCAATCCACCATTGCAACTAATCAAATCCATAAAATGCAAAACATAAATATTTGTAACTAAAATATCCAAAAAGAGTTAAACATTATGGCACCATTCAATCTAGTCTAAAATACTACAATCATAGTCAAGTGAAAATATTACCAAGTCTAAACATCCAACTACAACAAATAATAATGTCTCAAACATCAATAACCATAACAAACTAAAACTCATTATCCCCGCCATCCTCGCCATTCAAAGGACCAAATGGATGCCCGCTCATAAATTTCTCCACTAGACTCTGCAATTTGTTAAAATTTGCGCGGTCTTCTTTCCGTTCCTCCTTGAACTCTTCAACTTCTTTTCGTAATTCTTCCACCTCTTCGTGATCTTGTGAATAACTCGCATCACCAGACAACAATGTCGTAGAACGGCCTACAGAATATTGTGATCCAAGACCGTAGGTTCTACCTTTGTTTGCGCCACCAACCACCTGCGTCCATATTGAAGCTACATCATTGAGTGACACTTGGGTTGAGCTACCACCCTCAGAATCGGGTTGACTTTGACGCCATTCCTCAAAACGTTGCTGATAGGCTTCCTGAAATTAAAATGGAGTCAAAGCGATACTTGAAGAAATTAAAATGTATGTTTCACAGTTTTTCGATGAAGCATGTATCTATAAAAATACAAACACACACATAAATAAGGAATGAAATGGTGCAAGTATGATGAAAGTAAAATTTTAAGAAAGAAAAAACTTATACTTAAGCAACAAACAATACTTTTTTCATTTTTTCTAGCTCATGCTTCCTTCTTTTTCCTTTACTATTTCTTTCTTCCCCAAGCAATGCCATGATCTTTCTTTATTTTTTTTGAATTCCTCCAGTCCACTTCTCACTTATTAATGTCAAGAATCATTTCTTAGGGAAGCAATACATGATCTTTTTCTCAAACTATTGCTGCTTCTGAGAGCCAACATCCATTTTAAAAGTACATGGATATGTGAGTCTACATGAAGAAATTTTGCATGCCAAAACCAGAGGCAACAGATGCACAATTACAAGCCAATATAGACTGGATATATACTAATTAAGTTGTGGACCGGATATGTACTAAGAAGCACTTGGAAGTTGGAAATTAGGGTGATAGAAGATTATTTTATTTCCTCAAGGAAAATGCTTACAACAAAACCATGTTAACATCTACGAATTTTTGGGGATGTGTATCTAGACATAAATAATCACATGTTTTACAACAAAACCTTGTTAACATCTACGAATTTTCGGGGATGTGTATCTAGACATATTGCTTGATAGAACAAAATTTGTTATAGCTGCATAAGTCCTTGGTGACTTAATGTATAACCAATTTTCGTATTCCCTTATATTTGAATGATCTGTATAAAAAAACTCCAACCTCATGAAAAATGCACTTATTCTGTGCAAATTGCCAGTCAGTGCATTTCTATGAAACAAAAGGAAGGTTCATGTTCAAGAAATGGTGAACAAAAATTGGGGCACATATAAGGTCCTGCCATTTGGGGCACATATGAGGTCCTTCCAACAGATAAAGATGTTCATACTAAAGGTGCCAAACCTTGTTCTATAGTTTCGAAAAATGTAAACATTCCCTAACTTGGACAACATTTCAAAACGCATGCCCCAATTGAACTATATGAGATCCACTATATCTTGAGTAACTAGTTGAAATCAGTAACCCGAGTTGTCACTGGTGTTCTGCCACAAGATTGACTAGCAAAGGCAGAAGAAACTTTATGTTTCATTCAAACCATGTCCGTTGAAACAACATATTGATTGAGCTAATTAACCTAAAGTAAATTTTAATATATATAAAATACAGTATAAAAGTCATAAATTGTGTAAGGTCCTTGTCTTATGATTAAAAGAATAATCAACCCCAACAAATCAAAGAAGAAGAAGAAGAAAGAAGAAGAGACAAAAAGGAAATAGAAGGATCTTACATATACCCTCGCAGCACGCGGCTCGACCCATTCTCTTGTCCCATCCTTTTTCTTTTTTAAATGCTTGTCCTCAAAGACCTCGGCATAAGTCACAACTCTCCCTTTTTCCTTTTCCTGCCAAAAATAAAATTAAGTTAGATAAAGTTCAATTGCATCTAGTTAAAATCAAAATAAATATAATAAGAAAGTTACCATTCTCCTTCGATGGGTCTCCATACTAATTGAACCCCCAGTGTGCAATGAGCCACCCGTATTGGAGGCACGGGCAGCCTTTGCAGCATTGCTCCTCTTCTTAAATTCTTCAGAAGCCCATATCACAATAAGTCTATCCCACATGTCTTTTAGCATCCAACCGGGCTTCTCGCCCTTCTGTCGAGCTTTATAAAAGAGATTTTTAAACCGATCAATAATTTTTTTCTCGAAATTATGACTTATTTGCTGATGATATTTGGGATCCATGCACACCTTGTATGCAAATTATTTAAAACATTAGATGAAATAAGGGTAGTTTGATAAATAATAAAAAATTTATGGATTTTGTACCCTAAATTGATTCCACTTCTGATCTCTATAATAATACGGTATATCTGACCATTTACTCCAAGCATCTCGATAAAATCCTTTAACACAATCCACAACCACCTTCGTAGATTCATTGGAGGGAACTAACCTGCATTAAAATTAACATATGTTAAAAATATATTCAGCAATTCAAACGAATAATAAAGTAATTGCTTACCCAGTAGTCCCATCAAGAATGATAATCAGTCTATGAAAGGAATCATACGATACAATCTCTTCAAAAGTCTGAGTCTGTGTATCATCAGGAGCAGGTGTAGATGTATTAATGGATGGGGATGACGGTATGGTAGAGTCTCCAACATGCAGCCTAAAAACACTAGGAGTGGATGATGATGGAGATGAAGATGGAGTCACAGATGCAGAACCACCATTCTAACTAACATGGTAGCTTGGGTATGGAGTGCAGGATGACGGAGGCATAGATGAGGAGCCACCATGCTGACTAGTACGATAAGCTGGAGAAGAAGATGGCATAGTGTGCATGCTTTGGGAATTAGAGATAGGCTTATATCGAACTGGATCACAAGGGGGCAAAGTGAAAAATCCAGGTGGCAGTGAAGTCTGCTGAGTAGGCGGAGGCGGAGGAGGCAGAGGCGGTTGAGGATGAGGAGGACCCATAAATGGCACAGATGAGGTATTGGGACCTGAAGTGTACTGAGGAAGCTGGGAATTGTGTCTTATATTCTTTTTTTTACCCGGCGCCATCTGTGTAACATAAGTATATTAAAAACATTAGATGAAATGTGTTAAGACATAAAAAATGTAAAGAAATTCTTCAACTTATTAAATTAAATGAATAACAAAAACACATAAAAGCTACAGTTGGTAATTTGATAATTTGGTACTGTGTCATGCATATACTAGAAATGTGCACTGTGATAGATCAGAAAACGTTGCTTAAGCACTCTATTTTTGCATGCAGATACGTAAATATATACACGAGGGTCTTGGAGAATAAGACTCCAAAGTAGTACTACCTAAATGAGATAACAATTACACCAACTCTATACAAATATACTTCAACAATTCCTATGTGACATTATCCTAACAGAGCCATTCAAATTTTCATGGCAGAAGAAGCAAATACTCATATTTCATATACAAGAATTCAAATTATTCTGCATAAAAGAAATGCGGCAGCACTTAAAATGCAGTTGTTTAAAGAAAAAAATTTTAAGAAGGGAGGATAACCAGTAACAGTAAATGTTGCAGGTCACCTAACATTATGATCAATTCACAAGAGGGCCAACTATAGCTTTTCTTAAACTACGTACCATTGTTTCAAAGTCATCACTCATCACAAGTTGTGTTACCAATATGCCAATCCTCTTCGCTTGATTGATATTCATTATTTAATTCTTCCTCATCGCTTGTTTCATTTTCATCATGCAATTCTTCCTCATCGCTTATTTCATTTTCATCAAATGATTCTTCCTCGCTTGTTTCATGTTCATCGGTGGGATCTTCCTCCATGTTTGTACGGGATGTTCCTTCCCCAAAATCATGTGGATTTGCTCTACGAGTAAGGACCGAAGGATCATATTCTTCATAGATGCCTTTACTATGTTGAAATTCACCTACTAATTCATCATCAACACTTTCTTGAACACTCGAAATATCATTCTGGTATGCGACTTCTAAACTCATGATCCATAGGCAAGAATCGACGATGGTAGTCAAACCATGTATTCTTTCCTCCATGTTTCAACGTGAATGCTTTTGCTTCTTCCATACAAGTTGGGCAAGCTAACTTTCCTGCAGTCGACCATCCGGACAACATTCCTTTATAATCCACATCAAAGCAGCATGCAATCTGAAGTTTTGTTTAGTTGATATATCATATGTTTCCACACCTTCATGCCACAATAACTTTAACTCATTAATTAAAGGTTGCATGTATACATCAATCAAACTTTTCAGATTGCGGACCTGGAACAATGCAAGTTAGGAACAAATATGGACTTGTCATACACAGCTCAGGAGGAAGATTATACGGCGTAACAAACATTGGCCAACATGAATATGGTGCAGCAGAGACAGAAAAAGGGGTGAATCCGTCTGCACATAAATCCAACCTAATATTTCTAGGTTCACTAGCAAAATTCGGAAACAACCTATCAAAATGCTTCCATGCTTCTCCATCTGACAGATGACACAAAATACCAGGTGGCCTTTTATTTTCATGGTGCCATCTCATATGAGGAGCAGAGCTCATTGATGCATACAACCTCTTTAAACTAGGTATAAGGGGTAAGTAATGCATCGCCTTAACTGGAACCTTCTTCTTTTTTGAATTTATGGCTTTCTTATAACGAGGTTGGTTGCAAAATTTGCAATTTTCTAAGGCTGCATCATCCTTATAGAATAACATGCAACCTTTCTCACAACAATCAATCCTCTCTAATGAAAGTCCTAACTTAGAAACCAATTTCTTTGTTGTGTAGAAATCTTTGGGCATGTCAATTTTATTCGGATTAAGTTCATTCATAAGGCCAATAATAGAGTCCATGCCCGCTTGAGAAATACTTAAATCTGATTTAATACTTAATAATCTAACTGCGACAGACAACTTAAAATACATTGAGCCTTTATACAATGGACGACTTGCTTCCTCTAACTGTTCATAGAAACGCCTAGCATCATCATTTGGTTCAGACTGAGCCCCCGGGTGCATCACAAAAGCATCCCTAACCATTTCACTGAATCGAGAATTTTCAACATTATTCTCTGCTGATGGACTACGCTCACTATCAAAATTTTTTTGAAAATCAACGTTACCAACACTAGCAACATCCTCTCCATGAATAGTCCACACGTAATAATTTTCCATAAACCCTTTTTTATAAAGATGAACTTTAACAACATCTGGTTGTAATAATTTTCCGCATTTGCATTTCATACAAGGACGCCTAATCACCCCTTCACTGAGAAATTCATGAAGTGTTTTTGTTTTAGCCATGAATTTGGCAACCCCTTCTATAAATTCCTCCCTCAACCCACTACGATTAGGATAAGTTCAATTATACATCCATATACGATGTGCAAGCTCCATCTACACAAAATAAATCCAAGATATGTAAAACAATACATATTAATTAGTAAATTGCCATATAATGCAGCCATGATTTAGTAAATATCCATATAATGCAGTCAAATATAGCCCTAAATCTTCTTCTGCTTCAGTTTATACTTATCACTTTTGATCTAGACTCTTAATGTATGGAAATATGATGTGCTCTGCACATAATCATCACAGATTCCAGGTTATGTTGAGCATTTACTGTATGTTTTCTCCTATAGTGTTGTCAACAAGTATGCATTTTTGCTCGTACTTTTTAGGGCTCGGAAGGACTTCTAGTCTACTAGAATCCCAGAGTATTAAATATGTCTTTAGTTCATTTCATATATAACTAGCACAGCTTTTGTAAAATGTTCCTCTCAAATCTCTTTTACAGTTGAATTTACTTATCAATATGAAGATAGGAGTTTATGTACAAGCCTTGTTTTACTTCTGTGAAATTGTAAGTTTTCTGTTTCATTAGCAAGAATATGTGTCTTTATAATTGTCTAAATTCAAGCTCAAAGCGCGTGAGAACTCGAGTGGAGTTTTTTTTTTTTGCACCAGAAAGTTGAAAGTCCAAGCTGAATTTCACTTTGAATGCAAGTGAAGTGTGTGTCCACTATTTTATTCCTTCAAAGACAGTGATGCATAATTCTCTTTTAGGTTTCTACTTTGCTGGTACGATACAAGGAACTAATGTTCGACACAGCATATAGTCGGATAAATTTTTGGCAGAGGGAGCCAGAAATGCTACAGACATGGTGTACATTACTATTNATGGTGGACATTACTATCAATAATGTATACCACAGGCAGATTTCTTTAACAAAGTACCCCAAAAAGTCAATTGGTCCTATGAATAAAGTTCATATATGGAAATCTATACATGACAAAAGCGCATTGAAGCTTTCAATTTGCAACAATTTAAAAATAATGTGACCAGCAAACAAAACTAATTACTTCTATCTTTTCTTACCGTAAGATTTCAGCCGTTTGCCTCTGTCAGCCTTTTGTCTCCTTCAGTCGTTTGCCTCTGTCAGTCACACAGATGAACTCGAAGAACAATCAGCCTCACGGGTGAAATGGAAGAGAAATCAAAGAAGAAAAAATATATGAGAGGGAAAGAGAGGAGGGAAATTGGGCGCCCAGAAATTGGGAAAATAGGTCGCGGCAGAAATTGGGAAATAAGGCTTTGGCATAAATCCGAAATATTAAATTTAGATTTCTGACTACCGTGGTCGCAAACCCACTTAAATATTCTTTTACCATTTTAATTTTAACTTTGTGACCGACACAGTCGCTTTGTTGGTCAACTAATATTTTTGACTTTTTATTGTCCGACCGAGTCGGTCGCAAAAGTGATGGCGGGAAATTGCCCCGCTATTTTTCCACTGCTTTCGTTGGAATAATAATCAAATTTCTTTTTAAAAAAAAGTAATAAAAAATCAGTCTGTTTCCGACTACAACAGTTGCAAAAGTAGTCCCATTAGCGACTACTTCATTTTCAGTCGGAAATTTCAGTCACAAATTAATGTTTTTCTAGTAGTGTAAATAGTCGAGTCTGGTGGGGGTAGGGTCTAACCCTTTTGTTTTGCAGAAAATGAGGCACGAGGTCCCCAGTTTGGGTATGATTAGCATGCCTCCACTCTTGCTAGACTGGTGGAGGAGTCTTCCATCAAATGACCAAATCAATGAGTGGAAAGAGAGGGCCACCAAACCTAGCAAAAAGTGGACTATCTGGAATACAGTCTGCTGGAATTGGAAGGAAAAGTGAGGAAGATAGTCACCGACTGCCAGAACGCTGAGGGAAACGAAGGAGAACACCTGGCAAAGACATTTTTACTGGTTAACCTACGCAAACTGAAGGATCTGATCAACGAGAGCATTCAACCTGAGGAAAGTCCTTCTGGGACCAAGTAAATAAGAGTTTATCTTTTTCGCTTTATAAATGTAGTAAGGCCAATGGCCATTAGTGAATTTTATTTCTTGCTTATTTAGTGCCGATTTGGGATGCGTCTATTTTTTATCAATAAAATAAGGCATTTAACATTCTATGTTCTCCAAATTGATTTGTCGCTAGGCCTACCTCGGGCACCACGAGGTTCCCAAATTAGGACACGTTTTACATTCTCGCACTATGTGTTTAAATACTATAACACTTTTTATATTCCTCACTAACTCGGTTACCTTTTTGTTTTATTCTTTGTTTTCGTCATTATTATTCCCCTTCCTAAAGGTTAGTTCATGCACTATGGCAACATCATCCTATTCCACGAGATCCAGGGCCCCTCCACCCACTCCTCCTCTTAGTCCTGTCAAAAACAAGAACAAAGGCAAGATGGAAGATTTGAACAACGTCAGAAAGGAGAATCCAACTGAACAAATAGAGGCCACCAATGGCCATGGTACTCAGGTTCGTAAGGAAAATGTATCCCAACTTGAACAGAAATTGCTAAAATTCCAAGAAGAGCTCGATCAGGTTCGGAATCTGGCAAGCCTGTCATTTTCCCTTAGCACCCCAGATATCAACTTTCCTAACACTCAGAACCCTACACCTCCGTACATCCCAAAATAATAGAATCATCCCGCTCCTCACCATCACACTGTAACACCAAAGACCCAATGTAACACCTGCCATACCCCA